GGTGTCGCAGTGAGTAGTCATTTTATATCATTACATAAATAAACGTTTACGTAACCTTGTAACTGAAATAACCATATGTTGTTTACAAAACAAATAACTTAAACAGTGACACGTAGTCACCAGAAAATGCTGAGAAATTGTGCTCAAGTTTGCAATCCCTCACCTTCGACTGAGCTGTTTACTTGTTAATCCACCACGGTAAAGTTAGTTTTACGTTGGATATTCGAGCTCCGTGGCTTCAGCAATGTGTTGCTCTCCTCGATCTGATGCAGGCAGTCTGATTTCGGTCAGCCGCGCCCAGTCTGCCCATCCTCCAATGGTTCACTTAGGGACCGTCAACAAATTATCGAACGCAAACACTCATCAGAAACAAAAAAATAATATATTTTCCATGATTTGCTCCACTCACACAAAACTTGGATCAAACTACACTGCAAGACCCGGGAGATGATGCACACCTGTTTATTAATCGTTTTTCTGCATTTGTTAATTTTAAAATAATTTTATTTTTCATAAATCATGGTTTTTGCTCAATAACGTTCCTGTCTTTTGTCCCACCCACAGAAAAATTAGCTTAAACTACTCTCCAAGACCCTTCATATGATGCACACCTGTTTTTTAATAATTTGTATGCATTTGCTAATTTTACATAATTTACTTTTTCATAAATCAGGGTTCTCTTTCTTACTTAGCATTTGTTTCGTGTGTCACATTGGGAACACCCTCAGCTTGACCTCATCAGAAGCTCCTATTACATTACACCAGCCAGGATTGGCTGGAAATAAGCTTGTCAGTGTCGCAGGGGGCGGGGCCCTCCCGTGGCCCTCCCCCTAAATATAGGGCTGAGCTGCACTGACAGTTTATTCAAAAACTAAGAGTGCACCGATTGCAGCTTTCTGACCGATCACTGATTTCTAAAAAGTCTGACCTGCCGATTCTGATTTTGGCCGATACCGATTTTGTTTTATAAGCGACACTGCCAGGTGTTGTAAGGTCACAATGCACCTTCAATTTTCCAATATTATTTTATTGGAAAAACATATCCATGAACAATATCCTAGAACAATAGAAACATGTTTTAACTGGCCATGAAGTTTAGACAATCGTTAAAACTAAAAAAAATTCTGTAAAATCAGTTTCTCATGCAAGTATAGGCCGATTTCCCAAAATTAAGGAAATCGGGGCCGATAAATCGGTGCACCCCTATCAAAAACTTCTTCTCGCAACAAACTGAAGTTCCCTGCAGCTCTCTCTAGGTACTGTCTCTCTCTAGCTAAACTGTCCATAGACTGTGTGCAAGCTCGGTCGCTGGGCGCTTTGCTCTGGGTGAGCACAGCACCACACAGAGTGGCTGTTTATAGGTAGCAATACTGTCAAAAAGAGAGGAAATGCCTCTTTATTAAAAAAAAGTTGAAAAAAACGAACATAAACCCGTTTGGGGGTTTGGTCCTTCCTTTTCCAAAAGGAGTGAGACCTCTTCCCGAATCAAACAGTCCTGCCTCAAGTCCACACTCATGCCCCCTGGAACCAGTTGAACTCCCCAGTTTGCCACTAGGGGGCAGTCTCAGCTTACGTTTGACAGACTGGCCTGTCAGCAGTCTTGACAGTGTATGCAGATAAGTGGAAAAAAGGCACAAACTCCGAATGGGTACTGAAAACTATAATAAGGGTTACAGACTACAAGTTGCAGCCCCCCCCCCCCCCCCCCCACAACCCCCTCTCAAAGGAGGAATGCTCATTTAGCTAACACTAGCAATGTTTACATGCACAACATTCTTTGACCGGATTGAAATGTTTTCAGATTAAATAATTCAAATGTATTGTTTACATGGGCACAATCTGTTCATGACGAGCGTTTACATGCAGCGGGCTTTGTTCTGAACAGCAGTACTGACATGCAGAGTGGTAAACTCTCCTTAAAAAAAACCACAGAAGAAAAAGTTCTACTTCCGGGATGAACGTAAACAAACCTGAGCACCCAAAATGGACCCACGACAGGTTTTAATGATGGTGGAGATGTTATTGCATTCCCTGACTGAGCTACAGGTAATACAGATCATTTTGACCTCTTTCAAAGTTTCTAGTAGAAATGTTGTGTCGCTCACCGACCAGTGTTGCTTCCCCGACATGCTAATATTATTAGCATTAGCCAGGCGGAAATGGCAAAGTCGCACATGCGCAGTCAGGTCAGTTTTTCACCATCGGATAAAAATGAACAGATTAAGTGTTTACATGCGCACCATTCACATTATGAATCGGCGTAAACCACCCGTTTCGTTCTGATCACAAATTATTTCGGATCATGCTGAATAAACAAAAAATAACCCGAACGGAGTGTTTACATGACGCGCTTTTGTTCCGAACGGTCGTTTGATCCGGTTACTTATGTCCATGTAAACATAGCTACTAAAACACTTCCTTCCCCTCCTGGAAGGGCACCATGTGCTGATCAGGAACGACAACACCACGGTAGTGGCTTATATCAACAGGCAGGGGGACCTGAGATCACTGAGGCTTCACATGCTGGCTCACAAATTGATCATTTGGAGCAGCAAACATTTCCTGTCTCTGAGGGCTACTCATGTTCCTGGAGTGCTGAACTGGAGCTGGAATGTCCAATGAAAAACTAACTTTATCGTGTCCTGATGCATGCTCAATAATCCAGGCAGAAAAATCCAAAAAATTTCAATCTGGTCCTCTGGACATAAAAAAAAAAAAAAAAAGCAAAAAATTTTAGAAACGTTTCGTCTCTCATCCGAGAGACTTCCTCAGTCTGAGGTGCTGTTTTCAGCTCAGTCTCTTAAATAGCATCTTCTCAGAGTGGATCAACCAGTTTGCTGCTGACAACCAAAACCAGCTGCTCACATGGTCAAGAAGGACCATCAGCCTAACAATGGATCATTAGCACACTGATGGCTGTTTACTGTTCACAGAGGGCTGAGTGATACTAGCAATAACAGCATTGTAAGAGGGGGACAGTTGAACCCGGAGGCCTCCACCCCTGTTTAATGATGGATGATTTCTTTTCACAAAGATGGCCTCCTTTACTCCTCTCTCAAACCATCGTTCCTCTCTGTCCAGGATGTGAACATCTTCATCCCTGAAACAGTGACCGCTGGCCTGGAGATGAGTGTAGACCGCAGAATGCTGGCCTGATGATGTTGATCTTCTGTGCTGGGCCATCCTTTTGGCCAGTAGCTGTTTAGTTTCCCCGATGTAAGACTGATCACAGCCCTCCTGACACTGAACAGCATACACAACATTGCTCTGTTTGTGCCGGGGGACTGGATCTTTGGGATGAACCAGTCTTTGTCGTAATGTATTTTGGGGTTTAAAAGCCACTGGGACGTTATGTTTAGAAAATAAACGTCTCAGTTTCTCTGATACTGCCTCAACATATGGAATGACGTCTGGGTCTGGGTTCCTCCTTTTCACCTGATGGCTGACTGGAGTCCTGTTTGGGTTTCTTCTCTGCTTTCAGGAAGGCCCAGTTAGGATATCCACATTGCTCAAAGCCTGTCTTGTGTGGGATTTCTCCTTCTGCCTGGCTCCTGAGTTAGTGGGGATGCTGTCTGCTCTGTGATACAGAGTCCTGATGACTCCTAACTTGTGCTCCAAAGGGTGATGGGAGTCATCTTCTGCTCATGCTGAGTCCATTTTTGAAAAATGACAAAATATAACTCCTAAAACTGCTAAAACTTGATACCACTCCGTTTTTGTTTTTATTTCCAGAAGAAGAAGTGTCTTCAGAGGTTTTTGTTTCATTTCTTTCAGTAGTTCTTGGTGCAGCGCCACCACTGGCGAGTGGGGGATCAGGTTGGTTCAACAGGTTAACTCGACTGCACAGTGCAGTGTGAATGCAAACGCACCAGCTCAAATGTAAACAAAATATTATGAATATTGGTCCCCAACCGAACCGAGTCTACCGGACTATCAGGTGTGAAAACAACCATAGTCACTCCAGCATGTCCTGGGTCTTTCCCGGGGTCTCCTCCCAGGGACATGCCCGAAGCACCTCCCTAGGGAGGCGTCCGGGGGGCATCTTTACCAGATGCCCGAACCACCTCAACTGGCTCCTCTCGATGTGGAGGAGCAGTGGTTTTACTCCGAGTCTCTCTGGGATAACTGAACTTCTCACCCTGTCTCTAAGGGAGAGAGTTAGTGGTTTTTCAAAAGCAGAGTCGAGCCTCCAGATCAGACTCTCCACTAGACCCAACATATCAGAGCATTTGATACATAAAGCATTATGTTCAAATGAAGCAGAATTTTAGCTAAACATTTGACACGCAAAACATGTAATGAAGCCGTGAGCCATATTGAGCCAAGATTTCCTGATGCATGCTCAATAATCCAGGTAGAAAAATCTAAAAAAGTTAAATCTGGCCCTCTGGACATTTAAAAAAACAAAACTGTAGAAACGTTTAGTCTTTCATTCGAAAGACTTCCTTAGTCTGAGGTGCTGTGTTCAGCTCAGCCCTCTGTGAATAGTAAGCAGCCATCAGTGTGCTAATGATCCATCTTTAGGCTGATGGTCCTTCTTGACCATGTGAGCAACTGGTTTTTGTTGTCAGCAGCAAACTGGTTGATCCACTCTGAGAAGGTGCTATTTATAAGACTGAGCTGAATACAGCACCTCAGACTGAGGAAGTATTTCGGATGAAAGACGAAACGTTTCTACAACTTTATTTATTTATTTTTTGAATGTCCAGAGGACCAGATTTAACTTTTTTAGATATTGAGCCAAGGTTAGTAAGAGCCAACAGATCTCAATACACTGATTAAAAAAACAGAAGTCCTGAAAAATAAAGACCACTGTGGAATATGTTTAAAGTTAGGGTGATCAAGCGATGTGGATCTGATACAGGCAGTCTCTCGGCAGTGATATGGTCTCAGCTTTTGTGTGCGTTGAAAGTTAGCAGCTCACTAGGACCACCACGATGTAGCAACACGAGATTTGTTTCGCACAAGACTGGGACCCTCCACTCTCAAAATAAATAGAATACGACAAAAATCAACAGGGGGCAGAAAACAATGAATAAATAAAACAGTTTAAAACCACTCGCCTGATCTCAGTTTAATGTGAGTTCAATCCGAGTCGATCCGAACCAAGCTGATTAGCTGCAGGTAATAATGTCCTGAGAGCGCACGCTGTAGCTGCACTCACGCAGTGACATGTAGGAGGAGATGTATGAAGGCAACAGACCAAGAAGTGATTTAAAGATGAAACTGTACCAGTGAGAGAGTCTTAGTGAAGTTAATGATGACCAGTTAAACAGTGGATACAGGGTGCACTGGTGGGTACAGTAGTTACAGCCAGTTTTGAATCTTAGTGCACCGTGATACAGCATCCAACATCTGCAGGGTTCTTGTAGCCTTATTGTGCTTGTTGTCTGACTATTCAAGCTATTTTGAAAGGATTGTTTAACCAACATGTCCTCTCTGTGTGTTTTTCTCAGCAGTACAATGGGGGTCCAAGTGCACAAGCTCACATCAAATTCACATCATAAAAACATTCTGACTTCTCTGCATCAGCTCAGGATCCAAGGACAGTTGTGTGATGTTACAGTGCAGGTGGACTACCAGGGAGATGTTCAGGAGTTTCAGGCCCACCAGGTGATACTTGCTGCATCCAGCGGCTACTTCAAGAAAATCCTTTTGTCCCAGAATGCAACCAAAGAGAAATTATTACTCTCAAACATGCAGTCCAATGATTTCTCCAAGTTTTTGGAATTTGTGTACTCTGGGAAGATCGAAGTTACTCAAGATAAGATCGGTGATGTCCAAGCAGTGGCACAGATATTGGATTGTGAGAGTCTATCAGAGATTTGCACTGAAGCCGTAAGTACTGGAGTTCCACAAAAACCCAGAGAGAGAACACGTACCTCAAAACACAAACCTCAAGATGCTTCAGGTAGCACTAAGAAGGGAGAAAAGACAAAAGGCTGTAAAATGGTTCATAATCCTCGTCGTTACTCTTCGAATGAGAATCTTCACAGTGAAAAACAAGTTGAGACAAAAAGCATCGAGGAGAGTGAGAACGGGACTGAAGACGCAGTTCGGCCAAATGTAAAGGAAGAAAAGGAAGAGACCTCACTGCTGGAGCCTTTATCTGATGATGACTGGGCATGTGACGATGAGATAAAGAGTGACGATGAGATGCAGAGTATTGACCCCTTGTTTATATTGGACACAGAGGAGGAGGAGGAGGAAAAAGAAAAACACTTTTTTAAGAGGAAACAAAAAAAAACCTCCACGGCCCAGTTCCTGTGTAACAAGTGCATGCGGACTTTCCACTATGAGAAAAGCTACATGAAACATGTCAGGTAATGTTTCTAGGCCTTACTGATCATTCTTGTAGTTCCATGCTGTGTGCATGATGAGTCTTGTACAACCAAGTCAATTGGTCAATAAACCAGCTAGTTTGAAGTTCATTTTCATCCATCCATTATCTTTTACCTACTTATTCCATTTTTTGTCACGGGGGTCCCCGGTGCCCATGTTCAACAATCACTGCGTGAAGGGCGGGGGACACCCTGGACAGGTCGCAAGTCCATCACAGGGCCACATAGAGACAAATGAGACAAACAACCATTCACTCTCTCACTCACACCTAGGGACAATTTAGAGTTACCAATCAGCCTAACATGCATGTTTTTGATCTGTGGGAGGAAACTGGAGTACCCGGAGAAAACCCACGCATGCACGGAGAGAACATGCAAACTCCACCCAGAAAGGCCCCTGGACTGGGATTTGAACCAGGGACCTGCTCGTTGAGAGGCAGCAGCTCTACCAGTTGTGCCACCGTGCTGCCAAGTTCATTTTCAGAATTGAAATTAATTTACTTTGTGCCATTTCCTTCTGTAAAGCTCCTTAGTCATTTGGGATTTTAATAATAATTTAAATGGACAAAATATGGTGATTTTAATGTGTAAGAAATTTGAGGAGAATGCAATGTTAAAGCTGCTCATTATGATCACCATGGTCACGACACACACCTGTGTCGTTTACTCCCAGGAATCAGGCAGACAGAAATGCAGAGCAGAAAGTAAGTCTCAAACTGTCACTTAACTCCTGAAATGGCAGAAATGTCTTGTTGCCACACATGCACATTTTTTTATACGTGTTTTATGCAAGAGTTAAGTTGGAGGGAGTGGTGGCGCAGAGGTTAGAGATCTTCTGTGATCATAAGATCGCTGGTTCAACTCCCAGTAGGGCTGGGCCATATCGTATTGTTCACGATAATATCAGTAAAAAAAACTTGCCCAGGAAAATAAATTATATCATGATATGCTAATTTCATGACATAAATATGTCATCCCACCATGCAACGGATTCTACTGTGATATTCAAGTTGTAAAGGTGAAGGCACAGTGGTTAATTTGAGGCAGATCCTGCCGGAACAAGATTCGGGAACTCGCTCATTTTGACCCGTTCTATTCCGGCAACTCTTTGATCGGATCCGGCAGCTCCACCCCTAAAAGTTCAAAGTCATTGCGCATTTTTAGTTTGATGATTTATTTAAAAAATACAACGAGAGGAGACGTTGCCTTTAGCCCAGCGGACCCAGTCTGTGGCATGGATAGCCGCAGCACGCGCATAACCACAGATGACACAGAGATTCTGCGCAGTCCTTCTCTTCTCCTCCTCTCTAAATATTATCCTTACTCAGCAGGGATGAGCACTGAAAAACACCCCCTCTCCCCTCCGCTCAGACCCCCAAAACAGAAACGATCATTTATTCAACAGAATAAATAGATGCCCTGCAACAGTGCACATTACACACAGAAGCGTCTCCAGCTCTAGCGTGCGCACACATCAGCAAGTGTCTGAACTCCTGCTACATTTCAGACATAATAAATAAAATCTTACTGTAAAAAAAAAAAAAATGATACAAAGATAGAAATGTTTGACGTGTTATTCACATTATACGTCACGTTTCAAAACAACGGCGCTATTTTGTCAAAATAGCAACAGCGATCAAAATGTCAAAAAGACAGTCCAATTTACTTTAATAAAAAATGGGTGGATGGATGGATGGATGTCTTTAGTTGGACAACAGAGAAGTGAAGCCTTCAGGTGCTTCAAATGGTGCCATGAGACTGGAGCAAGAGCGGAGAAGAGTTCATCTCAGAATCGTGAAGTGAGGGGAGGAGGAGGGGGTTTAGGACACCTGACAGAATCAGACCTCTAATTCACACACAACCTGCTGTTCTTCTCCAAAATAGTAATTTTATTAAGTGTTTACAAATGTAGGTAAATGTTGATGTATAACAACCCCTTAAAATACACCAGAATGCAGGAAATGGCATCTCTGTTATTCAAAATTTTCTGTGAGAGGACCCACGGCCTGCCCACTGTTCCAGCATCGATCAGTTTACAAATTAAGCCCTGTGAAGGCATGAACATCTGAGGTGTGCACTGTTTTATAGCAGGAGGGACACAGACACATCTGAGCTGAGCGCTGTTTGTCCCGACAGTTTTTGAGCCGGTCAGCGTGAGGGAAGACGTTGCCTTTAGCTTTTTAGGTAGCGCGCTGCTAACTTGGGAGTTACGTCAGTGCAGATGGGTGGGGCGGGGGTGCACGCAATTCAGTTCGGTAGTACGGCAAGCCCTCAAATCCATGAAGACACTTTTACATCATTTTATCACACAAAAAATGCCAGATTATGCTGTAAAATATGGGGTAAATCCACTCAAAACGCGGCTTTTTTACACCTACCTTCTAAACACCTAAAATTACGTTGTTTATTTTGGGCCTTGAATGCCACTTTTTACGCTTCACGCCATTATAAACACCGTAAGTTTGCTGCAATTTACACTGTTTAAGACTGCGTTTTCTTGAATTTTGCTAGGCCTTCCCCATACTTTTCTTATTCACTCAATTTAAACTGCAGTCACCCAATAGAAGTATAATTACAGGCCACACTAATTCATCACAGATTAGCTGTGCTGAAAAGAGAAAACCTGAAAAGTTTTTATTTTTGCCGATTTCATGTATTCTGCAGCACCCACTGTCAGCCTTTCCTTCTGTACCAATCTCATTAATCCCTTTCATGTCTTTAAAGTTCAATACACCAAACAATAATATATGAAGCAAGTAAAGACTGACATGCCTTTTTGAAATCCAAGTGTGTTTTGTAGTACTTTTTTCCCAACACCAGAGGGTACTCGTGACCAGAAATCCAAAATCCCATGTTAAGATATGTTCTCATTTGTACTTTTATTTTTATATTTTATTTTGTAAGGGCACTGCCTGTACTTCCTGTTCTGAGCATATATTAACACTAGAGTTTAATAAAACCAGAAACAAGGTGTCACACTGATACCCAAACCAGGAAAAGATAAAAGAAACTTGAATAATTTAAGACAGATCACACTTCTCAAAACAGATTATAAAATATTTACTTTGGTTCTTGCAACTCAATTTAAAGAAGGTTTGCTTAGGATGACTTTGAATTATAAAACCACCAAATTCCAAGAGAACATTTTCTGGGAATCATGCCAGTCAAAGTACGCGTATATTTATATATAAAGATTACTTGGAGCAGTATCCGGCTAATTGGGGAGCAAATGGTAAAGACTTCCCACACGAGAAAACTGCCATAACAAAAGCCCAGGTGATGTCCAAACTGAAAGCAGTCTGGGGAAAGTACAGGTGTGCTATGGACTCTGGATGTCGGAGTGTGCAAGGAAGGACATGTGGTGGTTCACCGGCTACCGGCGCCCTGGAATTCAGCGTTGAAACAACTGATTTTGACCACACCACAGAGGAAACCATCTTTCAGACTCATGCAGTTCAACACCACATTCGGTGTGTGAATTAAGTGAGGAGTCTACGTTTGCGAGGTCCCGAAGTGAAATGCTTCGAGTGAGTACAAATTATTGTTTAATATTAACTTGGTGTTTATTATATTCTCGTAGTCTATGTTGGTCCAGGCAAAAGCGTAACACTTCTGAGCAAAAAGGATTTCTGTTTTATATGTTTCATATGCAGAGCCCCGTTTCTTCTTTTTGTGAATTGTGCATTGCAAAGAACCTTCTGATTTCTCAGACTGTGTTAATTGTGTTACCTTTTCAGACCAGGCTGCAAACCTCTAGACAACAGAAGCTGATTAAAATAAAGGCTCAGCTCAAAAGATGCATCACAGGAAGACCTCCAAATAAAAAGAAGAATGGTGGACCTCCAGGAGGAGTCAGAGAGGCGCAACACAGAAAGACTGGATAAACTTACAGAGACAATGGAAAATATGACAAATTGTATTAAAGAGGGCTTCAGTCTCCTTACCAGAATGATGACCCAGTAGGGCTGGGTGATATGGACCAAAATGAATATCTTGATATTTTAAGATGAATCACGATATAATAATAATAATAAGAAGAATGTCATCACATTGTCATCACTGTATGGTTCCATACAATAACGAAATTAGTCTCTGCATTTAACCCATCCACCAACAGTTGGTGCAGTGGGCAGCTATTGAAAGCGCCGGGGGCATTTTGGTATATGATATACAGTATATGTCGATATTTTTTTCTTTCCATAAAGTAGTAACAAAAATATATTTCTCAAAGCTTTGTCCCATTTGTCACACAGGCACATTTATTAACAACAGCTGTGACTGTACAAAATAAATGTCTACAAAATAAACTATTTACATATATTAAAGTTTGTTTTAGGCATTTATTTTCATGTACAAGGACAAGTTTCAAGACATTTGATAATGTCAATAGAAAAATGTAAGCAAATATGTTCTTGTTTTTAGTATTTCACCCTGTTTTACGGCACCCTGATTTGTTGTTTTATACACTACTCCTATTTGTACCACATTTTGACTGTGGTTTACTGTTATTGTTGTCTGTACTTTATATGTTCTGTCTGAAACAGATCTCTCTTGTAAATGAGTCCTTGTGGCTCAATGAGACTAGCCTGTATAAATAAAGGTTGAATGAATGAAAAAGTTGTGCTTGTGCTAACAAAAATATACTTCCCAGTCAAAGCTTTGTCCCAGTTGTCGAACAGGCACATTTATTAACAGCTGTAACTACAAAATAAATGTCTAAAAAAATAATAAACATATATTAAAGTTTGTTTTATACCTTTTTTTAAATTTTTACATATATTAAATAATAATCCTCCACAGCTGCTTCGCCTTCACTCTGTTAGTAAGCGTGTGTGAACTGCAGCAGTCCTGCACCTCCTTCACTATTGACCCTTTTCCACTGTGACGGAGCGGATCGGGTCAGCTCGGATCAGCTGGTACGCATCACATTTCCATTGTGACCATTGTGACTGGTTCTGTAGGCGGGTCCAGATTCCAACTCG